GCTTTTCACAATGGTTTTTTGATAAAAATGCTTTTTAATGCTTTTTAAAGTGACTTTCGACTTTATGTAGCCCATATTATTATATCTGTACAGACATTGTTGTGCATATTTTTAATCTTTTAAAACTTTTTCCAGGCCCTTGATGAAATCCTTGAGAGTCAAAAACCTACATTATATAAATTTGCACAAGAAACAAAGGCTCTGGAGAAAAATGTTCCCCCTGGTGTAGAAAAAACATATAAGCAAGAATTTGATGATGTCCAAGGAAAATGGAACAAGCTAAAGGTCATGGTTTCCAAAGATCTGCATTTGCTTGAAGAAATTACTCCCAAACTCAGAATGTTTGAGGTAAATCCAGAGGCCACTAGGAGTTTAAGTTTATTACAGGGTAAATAGTAATTACCATGTAAGATTCAAATATCTATTATTTGAGTATTTTGCATTCTTTCTAGTCCCACATTTATTATATACTTAAGCTGGATTTATCAAAGGCATACTTTTAATGTGCTGGAGAACACATTTATATCTTTTGCCTTGCAGAAAAGTCTTCTTGGTAGAGGTAAACTGGACGTTGAAGATAAGAGAAAATTGCTTAAAAATGGTCAAAATAATATTTCAGGCATGAGAGGCCTGCATGAAGTGTGGTGATTAGATTATAGCGGTGGCTCGGTTGGAGTGGTAGAAGTAGCCCGGGAAGTAGCAGATAGCCGAGTCCGTGAACCTGTTTTTGTTGCTGTTGTTTTTTGTTTGTTTGTTTGTTTTTGTTTTTTTAACATTTTTGACATTTGAAGTTGAAAGTCTAAACTAGGCCATCAAAAACCAGTGTCACGCTGTGAAAGCAAATAGTTCCAGGGACATGAAACTTCAGAAGCAGGATCCTTTACTACATCTGAAAATGTTGACAGGTGAAGCAATGGTAAAGGTCAAGAGGAAAGGATAAATGGAGAGAGTGTCAGATAAGACAGCTTGGATTGTAACGTTTTGCCTGTGAGAAGGGTGGAAGTGGAGTTTCCAAATCCGTCTGGTTTTCTGCTAGGAAAAGTCTGGATAGAGAATGAACCATCACACCAAGACTTCCTGTCCTCTCAGTGCCTCCTTACCTTGGGCTTTTTTCTTTTTTTCCGTGAGTCAGGGATCTTTTTCTTTTTTTTTTCTTCGTCAATGTATCTCATGATATACTTCTAGAACAGTGCCTGGCATAGGGAAGGCATGCAATGAATATTTTTCAATGAATGAAATGAGATTAGTAACAAGAGATTTCAATTTGGAGATATATATTTGGATGTAGGTCCTAAGGGAACTGTGTGAGGAATATTGCCCGAAAAAGTGAAAAGATTGAAAGTGAAGACAAAACTGAAGAAAATGTATGTTTTTAACATCAGTGTCAGAGAACAGTGCTAGGAGAGGAGCTGGAAGACTGTACGATCACTGTGGATGGGATCCAGCAAGATTCCATGAGCAGTGACCACTGAATCTGGAGGGATGCTCTTTGGCTCAGGAGCTAATGGACGGTTCCAATGAATGACCAGCAGGAGAATCCAGAGGGAGGGGTTGTGTGTGTGTGGCCGTGTGCTGGTAGTGGCGGGAGGTAAGTGTCAGTGCAGTTCCAGATTGAGATTTCATTTGAATAAGTAATTAATTAGGAAGAGAGGTGTGTTATGTGTGGCTTAGTATTTTTGACCCATTTAACTTTATGAGTGGTCCCACTTCTTGTACGTAGTAATTGTT